TTTTATATATATTATTTTATTTTTTTTGGTGAAAAAATAGTATCTCTTGATTGAGATGTAGTATTATTAAATTTTAAAACTATTTAAATCATTCAATTTAAAAAAGTAATTTTGAAATAAAATTTAATTTTATGATGCTATTAATAAAAAAGTACATACTTTAACTATTTTTACAGGTATTGATGAATTAATTATTTATTTCTTATATAAAAGATTAGATAATATTAATTTTGGTTGCATAAGTAATATTATAATAAATGTTATATACATTAATATACAAATATATGTTGGTGTAAATCTAGTTTAACATATAATTATATATAATTTTAATATTAATTTTAAATAAAATTTAACACATATCACATGTCACAATAGTTTATACTTACACCTTTTAATAATATATCAACATATTTGTAGTGTAGGTAAAATTAATTTTTTTTAGTGACAAATATTGTCTTATTATAGAATGTATGTTACATGCCATTTTTTTTTTGTGTGACAAAGATTCATAATCCTAAAGTTTCAAAAGTGCATTATGGAGAATATTATTAGTTACACTCTTTAATACTCACTCTAACACTAATTATTTTTATGGAAATATCTGTTTCACGGATTAAAATCTTATTCCCAAAAATATGAACTTATAAATGTTTTTCATATTTGTTTGGAGTTTCGAAAAAAAAAATGTTTAGCTATTATTCCTAGAAAAATAGTTACAACATGATTTATTTCATTCTTATTCTCATGATGAAAATAAAAAAGTTACATTTTAATCCATTCATTTAACTCTTATTTTTATTTAATTATTTTAATTAAGTTAAACTTTAAAAATGTTCATAAGAATAACACATTCGTTTTTTGGGTTAACATTCTTAATGATAGTAATATTGTGAATGTAATATCACACCTTGTTACAAATGCTTTCTAACATTTTTTTTCTTAAATATGTTTTTATTTCCTATAAAATGAATGAGTTTTAAGTTTGATCCTGATAAAATAAATATCCTTCTAAAATTTATAAATATTAATTTTGATTTTTATAAAATGAATAATTTCTTATTTTGATCTTTATAAAATATGTTTATTTTATTTTTATTCTCTAAAATCTAAAATTATTATTTTTAGTCTCCAATGTTTATTTTATGATAGATAAATAATATTTATTTTATGATTATACAAAAAAATTTAGAAGTGTCAAATACTGACACAATATCATTAATAGTTGAGAGTGATACCTAAAATGATCACTTGACATTTTTAATAAATAAAAATAATTTAAAATGATTACATAAAAAATAAGGATTAAAAATAATAGTTCTAATTTTTGAGAAACAAAAAACAATAAATTTTTTTATATAGATCAAAATCAAAACTTATTAATTTTATAAGAAATAAAATTATATTTAAGCCATTTTTTATTATTGAAAACTTATTAATTTTATAAGAAATAAAATTATATTTAAGCCATTTTCTTATTATTGACTGAAATTTATGGAAAATCATAAATTTTGTGAATTTTGCATCCCAATTAATAAATTTCTCCTAATTCAATAGTAGGATCAACTAAAACTCTTAAATCAATAATAAGGAGGGTAGTAAAAGAGAGTATTAGAAAAAGTGCCGCTAATATTTTTCGTAAATTATTGTTCAAACCATGATATTTTATTTTGGAACAAAACTTAAGTACATTTCCATATGTATTATTAGTATTGGTCTTCAATTAAAATTGAAGTTTTACTTTGCTCATATGAATAAATATATATTATCAAAGCATGCATTAAATATAAATGCATATTATTGAGATTTAATTTTAATTAAATAACAACATTAATAATTATGATACTACACTTATGTTCTGTCATTTATTTTATGATGTCTCGTGTATTTCGAATTCACTATGTCAGATACTAATCCATCTTGTATTACTATAGTGGCCAATAATTTGAAAGGTTTTCACAGGTGATTGAACAATAAATTTCCTAGTAAATATAAATATATAATCTATTAATGGATTTGGTTTTTTAGACACTCAATAAGTTAGAGATACCCATGAGACACTCATTCATAAGACAAGAAAAAAAATTATTGAAGCAAATATATATATATATATATATATATTAATTTAGTAAAAAATAAAAAAATTAATAATCTTTAAAAGGGTGTTGAAGGAGTGTTTTTTATTGTAATTTGGGATGACGAGGTCGGTCGTGGTATGTGAGCATGCCAAAAATTGACAAAGGTGAAGTGAATATTTCAATTTGTTTGACCTGCCAACCTACTTAATTAAATATTATTTTTTTTAATATTTTGTAACTTGTGATGTGTGACACTTTGTGTTGTATCATAATCTTGTTATTAAAAAACTATTAATACTTGTATTATAATTCTTAAAGATTATTATAATTTAAGAGACTTTTAGTAGTATTTTTTTATTGGAAAATAATTTTTTTTTTAGTAATTTGTAACTTATTATTTGTATTGTACTCTTAAAGTTAAATGAAAAATATATGTCATAAGTCTCTTGATTAACTTCGTCGATTATCATAAAAATATATAAATTTGTGAGTTTAAGATAATGATAAAATTAAAATAATAACTTTATTTCATTTTTGACTAATCAGACCTTCTATCTGCCTCTATGCAATATGAGCGAAAATCTGACCCACTTTCATTAAGTGGACTAACTCATCCTTTTTTTGGCTCATGATATATAATTTGAAAAAAAATTAAAAATTAAAAATATCCTTAATTTTTATAAATTTAAATTTTAGGCCCCTAATATTTAATTTAGCACTTTTTTCTTTCTTTTTCACACACCTTATTTTCTCATCTTTTTAGTTTTCAACTGCATTTCCTTACTTTCCTCCATCCCACATATTTCATTAGGTAGTTTTAATTCTTTCAGTTTTACATTATTTTCGTCTCTCCTCTTCTTTCAGTTTTCTCACTGATATCTTCTCCTTCTCCTATTTTAGCTTTCACACGCATTTGGAAAGTAAAATTAGTTTTTGACATTATAGGTACGTGTGGTTTTTTTGATAGTGTTGAAAGTGGCAGGTCAAATGTGCATTTTTTCAACGAGCACTTCCCCCATTTACATGTCTAAAAAAAATCAAATAATTTTAATGTTCTAGAAATTATTTTTTAAAATAATAAAATTAGTGTCACTAAAAATATTTTCTGAAATTGGATTATACTTTTAAAAAGTACTTTTCAGAACATTAAATTTAGTGTTCCGAAAAGTATTTATGAAATTATGTAAAACAAATACTTTCAGAAAGTACTTCTGGAACATTAATTTTACTATTCTAAAAAATAATTCCCAAAAGTGTGTTATTTTACATAATTCTAAAAAGTTATTTTCAGAATAATAAATTTAATGTTCAGAAAAGCACTTTTTGAAAATGTGTTATTTTACATACTGCTAGAAAGTACTTTCTAAAATATTAAATTTACTATTATAGAAAGTACTTTCCAGAAGTATGTAAAAAATACACTCCAAATAATATTTTTCCAAACACTATTGAAAAGTACTCGAGAATAGTAAAATTGGTGTTCCAAAATATTTTTTTCATAATACTAAATTTTATGTTAAGGTTTTTGGACAAGTTAAAAGAGAAGAATGTTGGGAGAAAAAAAATGTAGATCTAGTTTTGCAAAAATTGGTGAGAAAGTCACAGATACCTACAGTGAAAGAAGAAGAGAGTAATGTAAAAATCAAAAGAACTAAAACTATCTGTTGAAATAGGTGAAAAATTAGAAAAAGACAGAAGAGTGTATGTGAAAACTTGAGAGAGAAGAAAGGAGGTGTGTGAGAAATAAGAAAAAAGTAGTAAATTGAAAGTTGGAGGTGTAAAATTAAAGATACAAAATATGAATATTTTAGGAATTAAAAAAATCAATAAAAAAGGTGTACTTATAAAAAAAAAAAGAGGTATATATATCATGAGTTTTTTTTTATTATTATTATGGACTTGTAAAAGGAGACAGCTTGTTTTACCCTCCTAGTGGTGTTTATAAAACATTTTTTAATATAATTTTATTTTTCCTATCCAAATAATGTGAAGGGAGAAATGACAAATTTGTAGGAGTGTAAGTGGATATAGATAACTCACGAACTCAAACTGACCAAAATTAATCCAATAAGTTTGGATCTGACTTTTTTAGTGTTTGGATTAGACCCAATCCAATCCGATCAAAACCCAATACTATACAAGTTGAGTAATAGATTTTGTGTTTTTAACTCGTTATTCGACCGGACCTGATCATAATTAATAATAATAATAATAATAATAATATTTGAATGATCATTTGCTTAAGATAATATTCACTATCACTGTAATTAATTTAACAATATAATATATTTATTCTAAATTTTATTTTGTATTAATTAATGTTGTTTTTTTGAGTTGATAATAATATAACAAATTAATAAACTTATTTTAGAATTTAATTTGTATATCGTTGTTTGCTTTATAAGTTGATAACATTGTATTTGCAACAATGTATCAAATAATTTACATATTATGTAGCATGGATTCAGACATGATACGGAGATACGACACAAGGATATGGCAAAATCAAAAGACATAAGACATGTAGAAATAACATATATATAATATATAATATAAATAACATGACAAAAATATTTTACATTAATATAACAATAACCTACTAGGTCTAAAAAAAATTATTAAGAGACATCAAATTCATATTTTTCTTTTTAAATCTTGAATCCTCCCTTCATTGTTTTTTATTTTTATTAAAAAAATTATTTTCTATTATGTGAAAGTTAAGCAAGGAGAGATAAAACAATTCTCTTCATTATTTATATTTTTTATCAAATTTTTTTATTTTTTCTTAAAAAATCTCAAATCTTACCTTTTTTTTTCTAATTTTATCAAGATTTTTTATTTATTTTTTAAATATCAAATTCTCTCTTTTTTGTTTATGCTTTTATTGAGATTTATTCTTCTTCTTCTTCTTTTAAAAACAATCTCAAATCATCCATTCTTTGTTTATGTTTTTATTGAGATTTTTTTTAAAAATAATCTCAAATTCACATATCGAATAATATATCGAGATGGAGATGTGTTCATTTGCAAGTATCCGTGATAGAGACATGTCAATTTTGTAGGTGTCCGCGATGGAGACGTGTCCAATTTGTATGGACACAATTTGTCGAAGTGTCCAAGGTGTATCCACAATGAGTCCTCTCTTAAAGAGTGTCAGACTCAGGACACAACAGTCTCATGGTATGTCAGTGTAACATACTAACATAGTTTACATCTATTTTGAAACATTTAAATTTTTACAAATAAATAGATAAATTTAATCATGTGAACTTGATTAATTCAATCCATTTGTGATTAAATTGAATTGAATTAAATTTTAAAAAAATTATACAAATCCAATCCAACCTAATCTATTAAATTTTAATTAACCCAATCCATTAAATTTTAATTAAATTAGATAACGAATTTATTCGAATCCGACGCAACTTGATTGAGTTCCACCCCTAAGAAATTATTAGTTAAAGGAATTCAGTTAATTGGTTTGTGATTGGATTGAATTAAATTTAAAAAAAAAATTGCAGGAATTTAACCCAATCTATTTTGATTAAATCCATTAACAAATTTATTAAAATAAGTGGCGGTTACCCTCTAAGAAATTGTTACTTGCCAAATTCCATGGGACTGGAATGCGTTAAATATAGGGTCGGCTCGGCTCGCGAGTTTCGGATTGAAAGAATGTGGTGATTAAAATTAAAGAAATTGAAGGAATTACGATTCTCACTCCCTATCGTCACTCTCAGCCACGGAACGCTAACGTTCATGAAACAAGGGAAAACGAAAAAACTTGGAAACCCCGATAGGCCAATACAGAAGAAATTAGAGGAAAGCACAGTACGTAACTCGGCATAGTACCCACAAAATAAAAAAGAAATAATAATAGGGAAAATAATAAAAAAGCTGAGCATAGTGTTCTTGCCTGGTTTGGTCGAATCCCAACCAATCCAGGTAGGTTGTTTAATCTAATTAGTAATTGAGAGCTGCACAAACAATCGTTCCTGATGACGCCCTAGAGTTGCCACCATCAAAAACCGTTTATTGTTTCCGGCGTACAGGAAAAAACACAAAACACAAGAAAATAAAAACCCCTTACCCTTATATCCATTCTTCCCTCCTAACTCAAACTCATCCATCACCATCACTATCTTTTTTCCTGTACGCCAAACCGCCATGCATGCCCTCGCCTATCTCTTGCTTGCCATCTCTCTCCCTCTTCTCTCTAACGCCGCCACCCCCGACTCCTTCATGTTGGGCTGCGGCTTAGGCGACGGCGGCGGCGAAGACGGCGACGGAAGACGCTGGAACCCCGACAATAAGTACCTCTCTGGTGGAAACTCCGTGACATCCAAGGCCTCTGTCCAAGACCCTTCGCTTTCCTCCGAGGTTCCCTACATGACGTCACGCGTTTTCACCTCCCAAGGAAGCTACAAGTTCCCCATTCAAGGCACCAAACGCTACATGCTGAGGCTCCACTTCTACCCCGCCGTTTACTCCACCTTCGACCCCTCCAACGCCTTCTTCTCCGTCACCGCCAACGATGTCACGCTTCTCTCCAACTTCAGCGCCGCCATCACGTGCCAGGCCCTCTCGCAAGCCTACATCGACAAAGAATACTCCCTCGCGCCTCTCCATTCCGACGCTCTCACCATCACGTTCAAGCCTTCCGACAAACACCACGGCGCTTTCGCTTTTGTCAACGGAATCGAGCTTGCTGAAATGCCCGAGTTGTTCGACACCGCTCCTGTGGTGGGCTTCCCCGACCAAACCGTGGAGACCAAGAGTTTGCATTTTGTGACCATGTCCAGATTAAACGTGGGTGGGAGTTACATATCTCCCACGAAAGATTCTGGGTTGTCGAGAATTTGGTACGATGATACACCTTATCTGTACGGTGGAGGCAATGGTGTCACGAACGAGGTCACCGCGGATGTGACTATTAACTACAAAAGCATGCCACAGTACATTGCTCCTTTCAATGTTTACGCCACTTCGCGATCCATGGGTGCCAGTAAGGATATCAACATGGGGTTCAATCTCACGTGGGTGTTCCAAGTGGATCCAGATTCCATGTACCTCGCCAGGTTGCATTTCTGTGAGTATTACTATGCAAAACTGAACGAGATTGTTTTCAAAATCTTCATCAACAATCAAACGGCGCAGGAGGATGCTGATATTATTGGGTGGGCGGGTGCTAAAGGAGTGCCAACTTACAAGGATTATGTAGTGCATGGCAAAAGCTCTGGTGAACTCTGGGTTGCTTTGCACCCTGCACCTGAAACCAAGCCTGAGTTTTTTGATGCACTGCTCAATGGGCTCGAGTTGTTCAAACTCAATGACACAGACTTGTCTGGCCCCAATCCTAAACCTTCTGACATGCTCGTTAAACACGAGGAGAAGGAAAGGACTTTCGAAACCAAGCATACTACTAAAAGGACTTTTGTTATTGGCAGTGCTGCCGGGGGTGCTGCAGGTTTTGCCTTTGTGGCTGCATTGTGTGTTGTTGTTCACCACAGAACCAGGAAGAGAGCTCCGGGCTCAAGCACCACCACATCAAGCTGGTTACCTCTTTATGGAAACTCCAACACAACAGGCACCAAATCAGGGTCCGGGAAGAGTGTAGGCAGTGGCAACTTAGCCATGGCTCAAGGACTGTGCCGTTACTTCTCCTTACAAGACATGCTGCATGCAACTCAGAATTTCGACGAGTCCAATGTCATAGGGGTTGGAGGCTTTGGTAAGGTTTACAAGGGTGTCATTGACAATGGGTTTAAAGTGGCAATCAAAAGATCCAACCCGCAATCAGAGCAAGGAGTAAACGAGTTCCAGACCGAGATTGAGATGCTGTCCAAGTTGAGACACAAGCATTTGGTGTCCTTGATTGGTTTTTGCGAGGAGGAGGATGAGATGTGTCTGGTCTATGACTACATGTCGCATGGCACCATGAGGGAACATCTTTACAAGGGTAACAAGCCATTGGACACACTGACATGGAAGCAAAGGTTGGAGATCTGCATTGGAGCTGCAAGAGGACTTCACTATCTTCACACCGGGGCAAAATACACCATCATTCATAGAGATGTCAAGACAACCAACATTCTCCTTGATGAAAATTGGGTTGCCAAGGTTTCAGATTTTGGACTGTCCAAAACGGGTCCAAACATGAACCAGGGTCACGTTAGTACCGTGGTGAAGGGTAGCTTTGGATACTTGGATCCTGAGTATTTCAGGAGGCAACAGTTGACTGAGAAATCTGATGTTTACTCATTTGGGGTTGTCCTATTTGAGGCCCTTTGTTCAAGGCCTGCCCTCAATCCTAGCCTTCCAAAGGAACAGGTAAGCCTTGCGGAATGGGTACTGTACAACAAAAGAAGAGGAACACTTGAGGACATCATTGACCCCAACCTCAAGGGACAGATCAAACCTGAAAGCTTGAACAAGTTTGCTGACGCGGCTGAGAAGTGTGTGTCTGATCTTGGACTCGAACGCCCCTCCATGAATGATCTCTTGTGGAATCTCGAGTTTGCGCTCAACTTGCAAGAAAGTCCGGATGGTGTAACTAAAGCTGCACCTATTGAAGAAAGTGAGTTCGAAGAAGTAAGCTTGGGAAACAATGACATGGCAGCTCACTACAAAAACCTTAGCCTTGGAAGTGAGCATGACCTTAGCCGTGAGTCCAGTTATGATAACAATGCTAATGTCTTCTCCCAAATTTCCAATCAAAAAGGAAGGTGAAGATGAATGACAAAATATTCAAGATCATCGCTTTGTTATAACCAAGAGTTCCATGCTTTTAAGGAAGCCACGGAATTCAAGATTACAAAACCGGCGGATAGCGTTGCATTTGGAGTATACGGAGCTATATTGTTCCTTCCATTTATTTTTTTTTTCTTTCCCTTGTTTTCACGTCAAATAGCTTTTCAAGTCTGATTGTCTATATAGCATAATAGCAAGCCATTGTATTATAAGAAAGCAGCAAGGTCAAGCTCACCCTGCTTGTTATGTATAACATAGCCAAATATGTATAATATGATTTATAGTTTGTCAGAATCAGTACTGTTTCTGCAAAATCAGCACTTTTGGAATTTAGATTATGTATCTGTGAACAATGATATTCTGTATTGGAAGAGTTGGGATTCCTTCCTAAGCTAGTGTATCATTGTTAATTCATGCCCTGAGTTGTGGTATAATAATTGTAATAAACGTTACTTTTCATTTATTCTATTTCTTTTATCTTGTACAATGGCGACTCTAATGGATTTTCATTAGTTCTATCTTCCTTGCCTATGTTCAACTTGACTAACAAACGTAAAAAAATAAAAATAAAAATAAGACAGAAGATATGAGATGATAGTCCAACAATTACCAGGCCCAAGAGAATGATCATCAAGCCCAAAAGGCTCAACGAATATATGCTAGAGTGCAGATGTTGCCAAGTGTAGGGTCTTGAAGAGAAATATTGTCTTTTAAACGATTATGCAAAATAGATGACAATAGATAAAAAAAAAAAATTATAATTGATTTCTTGATTTTAAAGGATATTAGCTTTTATGTTTGACAAAAATACTTCGTGATAATAAATAAATAGTACCGGAACTTATTAGACACATAAAGAAATGTAAAAAAAAAATATTTTAATTTATTCAATTGATACAATAATTGGTTTAATATATACATAGAAAGAGAAAGAGAGGGGATATCTTAAATAACAAACCTCTTAATATAATAAATTAAAAACTGTTAATAATAAATATTAAATTAAAATAGAGAACTAGATTAAAAGGTAACAAATTATCATACATAATGTATCATAATTGTCTGAATCACAATTGTTATATTTGTCAATGTTATCAATGTCATTATTACCATCACTATAATTGTTGGTGCCACCACCAATCACAACTTGTTTTTAAAATTAACGTATTTAACAATGATAGATTGAGATAGTTATCTAACATCAATTGAATTTATTGTGATATTTTCACTAACAAATATACTGATAGGAAAATTTTATATGACAATATTTCACAAATTTACTAACAAAATTTTACCATAATAACTAAAACAATATTTTTCAACTTTTAGGAACTAAAAAAATCAATTTTAAATTTAAAAGAACAAAAATAAATTTATCTTAAATTTGATGATTAAAAGCATGTTTAAATCATTAAAAATAACAAAGTAAAAAAAATAAAAAGCTACAAGTTTTTTTTATGTCAAATAAGATCTAAACTAAAACGCAACTTGAAATAATATTTTGAAAAATGAGTAAACACGTAATTTGGTTCTTAAAAAATGATAGAGGTAACTAATAGATTTTTGAAAGATTTTCTTGATATCTAGATCCCTAAATTTTAACTCTTTTATGATAAGTTAGTCGTTTTGTTATACTCAATTACTAATTTTATTAATTTCTTTACCAATCAACAATTAAGTTAACACCTATTCTTTCTCTCAGTTAGTTGTTGTGTCTCCTAATCACCTAATACAAACCATAATGTAAGGTTTTGATACTTTCCAATCACCAACAGATACTTTATCACATTTATAGTACAAGATTATTGTTAGGTTTTGTCGGGTTTCCTATAGTGGAATTTTTTTATTTTAGTCATTTTTTATTTCTTCATCTATTTTTGGCTATAGGTTTAGAATTATAAACCCTAAATTATTGAATTTGAGTTCAGTAAAATGAGTGGTCATTCTAAAAGGTCTAAAGTAAGAATGTGTCAATTGAATATGAGTGTTTCAACTATGCTTAATGGTAATTGTCCTCTCTATTACGGAAACATGGTTCTATGTAATTGTTGCATGTTAACTGAGAGGGAGAACACGTGTCAATATGACAAATAATTGTTGACTAATTATCAGACTAACAAAATTAATAACTGAATATAAAAAAATCAAAATTTAGAGAACTATATGTCACAAAAAATCTTTCAAAAACCTATCAATCACTTATACTATCTTTTAAGAACCAAAGTGGGCTAGAAGCTTTTGAAAAAAAAAACTTGCTCATGTCAAACTTACTAATATAGTCAAACAACCAATTGAACTAGTAAAAATAATTTGAAGCTAACTTAAAATAATTATTAAAAAATTAGAAATAAATTTGAGATAATAAGCACAAAGTCTTGAGTTTGAATCTTGTTGCTATTGTTGTAATTTTTATGAATACAAAAAGATACACTTTGAGTAAGGAAATAATGAATAAAATGTTACATAACACATTAATACTTAAAAAATTATTCATTGGCTGCTTTCGACCTTTCTTTACTTCAAGAATCTTCTATGTTGAATGTTCCTTTTCTAACTTTTTCCCTGAACTTGACATGCTCTTCCATTTGAATATATCTAGCCGCTCGCACATGAAGTTCATCCATATTAATAGGCTGTTTGCGACATAGGCTGCCAATAAATAACCCTGATTTAAAGGCCATAAGCATAGAATGAAGAGCAATTTTAAGATTGAGATTACTAGTTTTTATGGATAGCCTTGCAAAACGCTCCTTGAATTTTCGTAAATATTCATCATCTCCTTGCCGCATGTTGGCTAGACTGCCAAGGTGATATGATGAGATCAACTAGTAGCACATTGAGTTGTGAATCGTTGCACCAAAGTCTCAAAGTTATAATAAATCTTAGTGGCAACTAAGTATACCAACTTAATGTTAGACCTTTCAACAAAGTGGGGAAAATATGACACATGACTAAGTTCTTATACTGATAATTTAATATGATTAATCAAGTTTAAGATTGACATATCAACTCGATAATAAAAGTATACATCTGAGCTTACATCATCTGGAAGATTAGTATTGGTAAGACTTATGATCTAACTTGTTTAAAATCTCATATAGCCTAACCTAATTAATAAAAAAAAGTGAGACTTAAACTTAATTTTTTTTATCTATTTAAAAAGGTTGACTTAGGCTTGTAAAAAAACTTGTTATGCTTAATAAGCCAACCTATTTATCTATATGGTACATATTAAAAATATAAATCAAAAATTAATTTTGTAATAAAAAATCAAACTATCAATATTTTTACATTTTTACTACACTTTCACATTTACATTTTTTATTCTTACAAAATCTAAGAAATCAAAAATAAAATTCTAGTAACTCTTTTCCTTAATCTTCATAATTGATTATTTATAATACTTCAAACAGAATATGAAGAATATTATTTTTTTAATAAAATTATGTTTTTTCATTACAACATGTGCACACATGTACATGTGTATACATAAGTTATCCCTTGGTTAAGTTTTTATTTTATTTTAAGCTATAAATTTTAATAATAATAGAATAAATAATTTTTTATCATGCAAATTAAAAAAGACTCACACATGTATTTAAAAATATAATTATTAACTTATTTAAAATTAAAATTATTGACCTATTTAAGATTATTAATGCAAAAGAGGTTTTTAAAATAAGTTACTAGACTAAACAAGACTTTTAAAAAGGTTATGCTAGACCTATAAAAAATATCTATGATAGATAATAGTTTAAATTTAATTTTTAATTTTATAGAACATGTTTGATCTATATATTCAAAATTTAACATATTTCGTTTTGTAAACCCTAAACCCTAAATAGGTATAAAGAGTCAATGTCATATTTTTTTAAATTAAAACTCAAATTTATAATTTTTTTAAATAAATGTGAAAGTGTTTTAAAATTGAGTTAAAAATTATTCCAACTTCATCCTCAAAGTCTTTTGCATTTGAAAATAAAAAATCGTAATCACTCCAAAGAGACTCTTAAACCATAGAGAATCATTTTATTTTCTTACTTTCATTAATTGATCTAGGTCATGTAATACAACTTGTTTCAATTATTTTTGAAAGATTTGTAAATCATTTTACTTGTAAATTAATTATAAATATTATAATTAACTTAAATCATATAACTAAGAGAGCAATACATTTTCAAGGTTCCAATTGAATTTAACATCATATGAAAGAACTCTAATGAACAAACAACAAGCTAATGCTAGCAACCATATCCATTTTGTAAAGTCATGGTGCAGCTAATATAAACCAGAGTTTGATATCACTCTCAATGACATCGAAAGGGAAATACATAGAACCAACCAATCCGCGTTCAATCTTTAAAATGTGTGTATGTACAAAATTGATTGTGTTATAAAACAAGAAAAGAGTCCCGAATGACATTAATCTCATTTCAGGAATCAAATTAAACATTACAATTCACTCTTACACAAAACCTTTAGAGTGAAGCACTAGTAATTGTAGGCAAGATTTTTTCCAATTTGCTGAAGCAGATAGGACAAGTAGATAATAGTTAAAAAGCTTAGATGCAACACTAGGGTAACACAAAAAACGTTGATAAAATTCAGGAACAAAATCATATGTTATTTGACAATGAAAACCACATGAAAACACACCCACTGTCCCCAAAACCGAAAAGCAAAACAAGTCGAGAAAAAGTAAACTAGTTAACGCTATCAATCCATGTGCCACCGCTGACTTAAAATCTGGACCGTAGATAAGATTCTATCGAAAGGCTAACATTTAAACATCGCTAAACGCTAGCGATCCGTGTGACCCTGATTTTAACCAATCAGCGTTAACGATTTCCCTCTCTTCCAGTTCTATATAAATGGCCACACACCTCAATTCTCTTCATTCATACATCCTCTGCACCTCTATCTCTCTTTGTATCGACGATTTTTCTAATTTCTAATCTCAATTCCTTTGAGTATCAATTAAGCTATGGCCACCGCAGCGCAGCCCAAAGCCAAGAAAACGGCCACCTCCAAGAAGCCCCTCTCCCACCCTCCCTTCGCTGTGGTACTTCTCAATTCCTCATTCAATTTTATGATTAATATCTTATTATCCATGAATTCTGTTTTATTTATTTATTGATTAAATTGTGTGGTGCAGATGATAACAGAGGCCATTGCGAGTTTGAAGGAGAGAACCGGTTCGAGTCAATATGCCATAACCAAATTCATTGAAGGGAAGCACAAGGAGTTGCCTCCAACCTTTAAGAAACTTGTCCTCGTATATCTCAAGAAGTCAGTTGCTGCCGGAAAACTTGTTAAGGTTAAGAATTCCTTCAAGCTTGCTCCGACTAAGCCTGCTGCGGCTAAACCTGCTTCTGCTGCTGCTCCTAAGAAGCCCAAAGCTGTGGCCAAGCCTGCTGCCAAGCCCGCCACCAGGCCCAAAGCTGCTGCTGCACCTAAGAAGAAGGCTGTCACGAAGCCCAAGGGGAAACCCGCTGCTGCAGCTGCAGCTGCGAAGCCCAAGGCTAAGGCCACTAAGGTGGCGGCAAAGAAGGTGGTTGCCAAGGCCGCTAAGAAGACTCCGGTGAAGGCCGTGAAGAAGCCCAAGAGTGTGGTAAAGAAGCCAAAGAGTGTGAAATCGCCTGCAAAGAAGGCTAAGAAGTGAGAGGATTGGGGTATTATTTTGTGTTTTAGGGTTATGTATTTCATGGGGATTGTTAGTATAGAAAGATGGATATATGGTTGGCAGAGTATTGATGTAAATTCCTTTGGTAGAAAGTTTAACAAGTGTTATTGTTTGCATTGAATACAATTCCTGATTGTTCAATTTTATTTCTTTCTTCTCCTGTCTCCTCATTGGATTAAGGTTTGTTTTTCCGGATTGAGCTTTAGGAACAATTCAGTGACAGAGGGTGCGTTGATTCAACTCTGTCTGCATTATTGCATTACAAACGCTGAGTTGGTGTTTGGTGTTTACGATAAATTAAATTTAAATCAATTCTGCAAAGGAATATTTTTTGAATGCCGTTCTGTAGAGAACATGCTACTGTTTAGAGGTGATCTTATGAGATAACTCAAATGGTGCAGGAAATTCATTCAATTTTTTTTTTAATTTAATGTAATTTAGTCATTATCGATAAAGTAAAATATAAATTTCTTAATTGTAGAACAGAGTATATGTAGAATTTCACTAAAAAAATATTTAGAATACTTGTCTAAAACTTGTCTAAAATAAAACACAACCAGAATTAATAGATTATAGAGTGCATTCCTTAATTTTTAATATTATATTTCATTTTTCTTGACATAGTATTTTTCATGTTGTTGAATGAGTTAACATATTATGTATTAACTTTTAAAATGTTATGTTTATTATCTCAACTGCTTGTTTTATTTGATTGTCTTTAACTTCTATTTGAAAATAAATTCAACTTTTTGTATAAAAATGTTAATAATATAACGTATGTGTTTAAAAATATTTATTTAACTTATATAATATATACTAATTAAAATACTAGTTAATATTAATTTATTTAATCACTTTGAATATTTTTTAATTGAATCACTTTTATTACAATTAATTCTATGAAATCTTTATGGGAATTAGTTTTATTAAAATTAATTCTATCGAATCTTTAAGATGGCAAATTTGGGCTGGACACGGTTCAAATTACATTGATAGCATATTTTGATCCAATCAACTTGAATTTGTTTGTTGGTTTGATTTGTCAATTTTTTTTTCTTATCAATCTAATTTAAAATGATCCAAACCAATTATATCTATTGATTTATTGAATTTATCACTATAATAATAAAAAAAATTACATTAAACAATTTATAAAATATTTTATCATGTCATCAACCGATAAAAACATCCAATATTACAAACATGTCAACATTAAAAAATATTAGTTAAAACATTCAAAATTCTAAGCTTAAAAAATAATAAATATCGTTAAATTAAAACCTAAATATGTTAAACAACTGAAAATCTACAAATCTACTATCTATTGTGCTCAACATTATACACTTAAATTATTTTTGATAAATGCTCAAAAACTTCCTAATTACTCCATCAATTTGAAAGATTAATTTTTGTTCTGAATCCTGGTCTCTGTTAAAAAATAAATGCAAAGCCCAATTGTGAAGAAAAAAAATGTGGTTCAGAATTCACATGATAAGGAAAGCAAAAGACAGGGACAAAAGCAGATAAAATACTAGTCCTGCAGAAAGGCAATTATATTTAAAATGGAAGGACTAGTCTGGGGAAACACCATACTTTGGTACGCAAGGCACATATTACATGAATAACTCTCGTTATATAAGAAGAGAAAGAGATAAGGTGTAGCAATATAATAAGTTACAAAACATATACACCGCAAGTTAACGCAAATCGCAAAAGTCAGTGGGCACCAAAACAAGGGTATTTTGGTCATGATTGAACCGAAATGTCTGCATTTGCGTGGTCGGTGATCTTAGGAGGACTCGATTTTGGTTCCTTATCCACTTTGGTCCGTTCTTTGGGTTTGCAAGCATTGACATTGACATTGACATTGACATTGCCATTGCCATTGCCATTGCCATTGCCATTGCCATTGCTGTTGCGTCGAATGTTGTTTTTGTGAGGGAAAGGGGCATTCGCAACAGAACCAGAACCACCCTTTATATGACTTCCAGTGCTGTGACGCGCTCGACTACAAACTTCAGGAGACGAGTTCACCGCATCGCCCAAGCTCCTTCTCCTACTCAGTTTTGGCGATTTTGGCCGAGTCAGTGGCAGCTGTCACTCACCAAATCAAACTCAATCAACAACTTTTCCAATAAAAAAAACTCATGTGTAACACAAAAATGCTTATTCAATATTCATGTAATATTGCATCCCTTCATTTAAGATTCACAATTCATCAAAGACCAAAAGTACCTTCTTTAGTTCGGTCTTAGGGGGAGGACCCTCATAGTAGAAACTTGGTACTGGATTTGCTTTGATTACCAAATTCTTTCTCAACTGCTTGATGGCTGCTTCTTGTTCTTCCTATCATTTTTTATTATTAAATAAACAATAAGCAAGTTATTTTAGCAATTCAATGTGCAAAAGGATAAACATAAAACAAGTAACTCATGTACATGAGCCAGAAACAAAGGTTTTGGACCATGTGTCTTGCAATTACAAGAGAAGACTACAGTACCTTTAGCCTTGCCTCGTACTGGTTTTTTTCTTCTCGAAGAGCTCGATGTTTCTCCTCCAACTTCAGATAAAACTGGATAGACGAATGATAATGATAACATCAACATGGAACTATCATCTGTTTCAAAAGATATACCAAAGAGTTTACTTGTCAGTAAATCTATACCTCCCTCCGTTTCTCTGCACGTTCGGAGCTTCTAAATGTAGGGGCTGAACCATGCGTTACCTTAGATCTGGCTGTGCGCATAGACATAGCACTAATATTTGTGGTTAAGGAACACATAATAGAATAACAGCTGTATTATATGATATGTGTAGGACTGTAGTAATACTTAACCATATTTGGATGGTTTCAAAATCCAATTTTTCGGATTCAAAATCATAAATAAGTGGCAAAAGTTTAGACTTTAGCAAGACCAATATGAATCTGTTTGGCTATAAGCTTAAAAGAGCTTCTCTACTGAAAATAAGAATTTTTTTGTTTAGCAGAGAAGCTCTTAAAAGTTCTTCTAATCTTGTATCTAGACAGGTTCTATGTCAAAGATTCCTCTAATGTACATAAAACTTTCTTTGTTAAAATTAAACCATCAAAATGTCAAATTTAGAGGATACGAGGAAGCCACAGACCAATTATCTTCATCATCATAGTTCTTCTTATCATGTTGCAAAGGCTTACTTGATGAAAAGGGTGAGTTTGGCTGAAAAAAATGGAAAACTTATTGTCAATAATCTCATAAACAAACAAATAGCAACACAAGCAACTGCAAAGCATCCCTGCAAATGTCGAAACATATAAATTGGTAAGCAAGTCTGTTAACATAAATCCTTAACAAATAAGCAACGTTTACAAATAAAACCATTTTAGGTATTTGTTTGGCATGGTATTTTGAGCTTCCCAAGATTGAACTGGCTTGAAATTAATCCAGTGCTACCCTTAAACCCAATTTCTCCTTCACAGGAACGCATGTCTCAAATTTTTAATCAATGACGACCATAAATTACCTTCATATTGTGTTTTAAAAAAGATTACCTTAGCAGGCTTACTTGTTTAAATGACAACAGGAGGAGAAACCGAGAAACTAATCCTCTGTCAATGAAACATCACACATAAACAGCATGCATTAAAAAAAAAAAAAAAAAAAAAAAAA